GCCCCTTTGTCCTCCAGCAACCTAAGCCTATAGCAGCAAAGCTATGGAGATAGCTCAGCATACATTGGGCAACTATAACCTATGTCAGAAAGCAACGTTTTAGGCCTAGCCTTAAAAGTAGACAGGGTGTCTGGCTCACGGGCTAAAACTGGTATTTTCTTCCACAGAAGAGGAGCCTGATAACTAAAAGATCTGCCTCCCATTCTATGTTTAAAAACTAAGGAACCACTAGTAAACCTGCAGTTCGTGAGTGAAGTGCTCTGTTAGGGACATAAATACATAACGTACAATCTGATCTCTGATATAAGATGGAGCTTGGTCATTTAGGGTTTATACATTAGGAGGATTTTAAACTTTTATTGTTGACAGTCCATTACTGGGCAACACAGAGAAACAACCATGCACACAGACACAACTAAGTAGTCATATTTCTGGTCTGTGGAAGAAAGCTGGAGTACCAGGAGAGAGCCAATGAAAGAGAAAACAAGGGTTTTAGTCTCCTACTGAAAAGGTCCAAAGACCTACAGCAGCAAATGCAAGACAATTGTTCAATCAGGTTTTCAGATTTTTATTTTTTTTCTAAATGAAGTGGAATTTCTTTTTCAGTTATACACTGCTCTGGTTGCTCCATCATAAAAAAATTATAATAATACAAGAAGGTGGCTGTTACATTATAAAATGGTGCCTCTGTAAGGCAGTGTAAATAGACCTCACTTCATTTGAGAATTTCTGTCTCTATTCTTATTTTTTTTATTATTATTTACAGGCTAGATTGTTTTTGCTAAATATTTGTTTGACTTTAAATTAGTAACAGTTTAAGACAATTATTTTACTTGTTTACACTTCAGGAAATGACCGTAGCTGCACATTGACAGTACATCCAGATGATTTAGAAGAAAATAAATGATTCAAGCTGTCAAAACATCTGTACATTACAATTTAAATGCCACATTTGGGGTCATTAGGTAAAATAATACTTTTCAATCAAAATGTGAATGCTTCGGCAGAAGTAATCAGATGGAGTGTTCATAAATCTGATAAGTTAGGCGTCTGCTGTTTACCAAGATGTAACCCTTTACTAATGTGTAATAACAGAGTAACAGAGAAACTAAGCCTTAAAGAATCAGTGGTTTGAACGCGATAATGACACCAATGATCTCTTTTAAATGAAAATAATGTAACAGACAATATAACGCATAACCAATTTACATAAGACAACAAAAAGAACAAAGATGGCCACCTTTTATAATACATACTAAAATATGATTTTAGGAAAATATTTATTCAAAAATAATAACATTTTGAAAAAAAGCCAATATCTGCTATTAATTGTATCCACGTTATTCATAATGTTAATTCCGTTATTGTTAAATATGTTTTTTAAAGCTAAATAGTTTGTTTTTTTTAGCTCCTAATCTATTTTGTTCCATACATTATTCCCGGAAAAAAAAAACCAAATACAATGCTGTTTTACATTTGTTCTTGCCTTTGGTTTTCTAAATATTTTGTACCTTCTATCTTTCTAGCTTATTCAGTTAAATTAACCTGCTGCTGTCATTCTGCACATCTCTGATGTTGCTTCTATTTTTAAATATCCATTACTGTAAAAATGCCCATAGCTGCATATTGGTTATTATTCTCCAGGTGCACAGCTTTTACATTGTTAAATCACTTTACAGTACAGTATTTTAGTATTTATCTTTTAACTCTTCAATATTATGTTATTCTTTTACTTTGTACATGAATTGAGTTGTTTTAAAGTCAAATAAATCTTCAAATTTTAATCTTTTCACATGGTTGTTTGCATGGTCTCTATAGTTTGCATCCAATAGCTTTCTTTTCAATTATAAACAAAGGATTTAGATTATTTTTATAGGTGTCTCCCCAAACTTCAATACAGCACATCAGGTAAGGCAAGAAATATGTTTTTAAATGTAAAAAGCCTTTAACTCCATATAACACTGCTGACGTTTTGGAGAACTCTGATCTGATATAGTTAATGTTTGGTTTTCATCCCAACTTATTTTCTCTTGTTACTCCAAGAACCATTACATCACTTACTCTTTGGATATCTGAGTCATTTATGTTCAGTTTTGTGCACATTTTTACCACGATTTGTGAATATTATAAATGTAGTTTTCTTTAGATTTAAGGTTAATTAGTTTGAATCAAACCAACACTTTGATATATTTAATCCTTTTTTTAATTGTCACCATTAGGGTTTATAAATGTTTACCATAACTAATGGTATTATTATTATTATTATTATCTGCAAATAATATAAAATGTAAGTTTTTTTTAATATAAAACATGATTAATAATAAAGGAGCCAACACTGCCCCCTGCGGGAGACCAGTGGTAATCGTCAGTAACTGTGAATCATTATTTTTAATGTGAACATCTATTCTCCAAATAAGTCTTGATCCAGGAAAGATAATCTCCCCCTAATTCCATATCTGCACTATTTTAAGTAATATTTCATTACTCACAGAATCAAAAGCTTGAGTTAGATCTAAGAACACCCCTACAGTGAATTATTATCAATGGCATAGGCAGAGCAGCGGTCCTATCAGAACCCTTATTGCTGCTCACAGACAATATTATGTTTTACAGTAAAAGTATATTATATATTTTATTCCAATATTTTGAACATTTGGAGAAAACAGGAATCAGCCTGTATTTAAAAAAAGCCATGCTTGTCCCCAGCTTTGTAAATGTGGATAACCTTTGTAATCTTAATTTCTTTTGGAAACCTGCCAAACTGCAAGATTACAAATGTGTGCAAGTTTGAATTTAAACTTCTACAACTCAATTCAATTTTCAATTCAGTTTATTTCTATAGCACCAATTCACATCATCTCATCTCAAGGCACTTTCCAGTTCAACCAGATCATCCAGTCAGATTGATTCAAAGTTTTCTATCTAAGGAAAACCAGCTGATTGCATCGACTCATTGACTCTTCAGCAATCCCTCACACTAAGCATGCTTGTAGCGACAGTGGAGAGGAAAAACTCCCTTTTTTACAACTGAAATGTATAACAGATAGTTTGTGTTTTGTTATCACAATGCTCTCAAAAATTCTCTTCAGTATAATATTCACAGTAATGATTTACTCAAGTGTAGTCAAACTTTTGCAAATGTAGGGTTTCAAAACATTCAGTAACACTTTCTGTTCTTCCTGTCTTAGTAGTTAATGATTTTTGCTCATCCTAATTTGCTGAATGTCAATCCCTATGAGGTGTCATTTATATTGTTCAATTTCTGTGACATCTTAAACAACCATAACCTTTTTCCAGGGTTCCATTCAGCTTTATGTATACTCTGCAGTTTCATGTCAAAGTGTCACAAACCTTCTTCTCTCTTCTCGGCATCCTTGCTTGTCTTGCAATTTCTAAACTTAAATTTAAAAAATTCTATTGAAAAATAAAAAAACAAAACCAAATTCCCCAAATAAGTCTTATTGCTTGTAGGGGTCCTTTGTGTCTGAATCTGGGTGGTGCCTGTATCAGTGTGAATGAACCAGTGCTGTTCACAATGCGTGAGGGGAAAATGAGACTGCAGTTAATGTACGCTCACAGTTCCCTTGGCTTGCCACCTAGCTAATGATGAGAATCTTTCTGAGTTTCAGAACAAAACTTTCAAGGTAAAGCGCTCAGTAATGAATTATAAGCACATCCTTAACTGCTTCTCTACTGTTCAATTTCATAGTAATAATTTCAAGTATTTAAGAATATTCTTGCTCAACCTGGAAATAAACACACTACAAATGGAATTCAATACAAAGTAATTTGTGCTGAAACAGCAAACGCAGAAATAATAAGACCTTAATCATCCTAAAAATTACCCCTAAATTCACCAACACACCATTAATTAACCTCTAACACCCTGAGGGGGTATAAATAAATTTCTGCCTGACAAAAACACACAAAAGTAAATAACTCATAGCCTCACAGCTATTAGATTTAAGAAGAAACTTTTGGTACCTCTGTAAAGGTAAGATGTCATAGAATGGTTTTCTGGTGTCAGCACCATTGTAGCTTTGACCCTGCCTGAAATATTAGGGACAAAATACAAAATATTTTGCATTTTTTGAACCTCGCCAAAATTTTCTTTGAAATAAACATTGCAAAACACTACCAAAATATTATTTATAGCACAAAAAAGTAGTACAGACTTTTAAATCTAAATGTTGTGTAAAAATATACCAAATGTGGACTCAATCAGATGAATCATATTTATTTTAGAATGGTATTAGTGAGAAATTTCTTAGGCGGAGAGGCCATTTTGGCACATTTATCCAAAAATGTCACCAAACTGTGCCAAATGTGTTTTTCACATCAATACTGGGGGTTTGTGAAAATTACGAGGTCACGTGGCAGCTGGACCCACCGGTGGGTCCGTAGGGTTCTAGGGGTTAATTAATACACACTTCCAACATCTCCTTTTTTATAACTTAAAGGTACATACATAACACTGCTTAGAAGAAAACAGCATCTTCCAAGAATTCAAATGGTAATAAATGGCATATTTGCAAGAATAAGGCTGCAAACGTCACCAGGAATCATTCTAGCAGAGTAGCTAGGTCTCGATTAGCACGCATGCATCGTGGTAGAGATTTAAGGAATTACCAGAGTCTTTCTCAATTGTAGCTTATTAATCGTTACCATTTCCAGCATAAACTATTGCCAGCTCCTCACAAAGGATCATGGGAGATGTAGTGCAGCAGTTCTAAGAGACGTCTTTCTTTTAATATTTAGTTTTGTGCAACTTATCACTTTGTGGATCATTTAATTTTTTATTGAGAAGTTTTTAACCAATGAATATCAATGAACTGTTTTTTATCACAAAGAAGCCATTTCGATGAATTAATTAGAAGTATTCATTTCTATTTACATTTATCATGGCTTAGTCTCAACGCCTGGTTACACAGAGCGATGTTAACAGTTAAAAGATCTCCACACCATCAGTGTGGGTGACTATGAAGCGTTACAGTGTTTAATTTTTCTCAGTTCTCAGTAAACACCAACTCCTCCATTAAACTTTGTCAGCTTCCAAACATGCAGGTCTCAGCTGTCCTGTGGGAGGCCGGTGGTGTACAGGTATGACACGTTCCCCGCTTGGATCTGGAACGTCTGTCCCTGGATGTGATGGCTGGAGATCTGCTCGCTGGTCTGGCTGATGGAGATGGGCTGGCTAACCTGGCTGCTGATGTGGATGGCCTGACTCTGCTGCTGCCCGTTCACCATCCCCTGGGAGCTCTGCTGATGGACGCTGGGCGGTTGCTGCATCACCTGGATGGGACGGGTTACGTGGAGAGGATGCGGAGGACCATGGTGGGCCTGCAGGTGGTCCATGGCTTCTTTACTCAGAGTGATGACGTGCATCTGCTCAGGCGGGTGGCTCTCCAGCATGCTGATGGAGTGAATCTGCTGCGTCTGGGCCGCAGTATCGCCCTGACTGAGCAGCGCCAGGTTCTGGATCTGTCCTGACGGCTGGGTGAGGAGTGTCAGTCTGGAATGGGCTGACTGTGCCGTTTCTCCGTTTGCTGCGATGAGGCTGATCTCCCGATCCTGACTCGGGATAAAGTTTATGCTGTTCACTCCCTCAGGCACCACCAGCTGGATCCCTTGCTCGGAGCTGAGGGCTGGCTGGTACTGCTGCAGCTGTAAGACGCCGCGCGCCTCCTCCTGGGGGGCGGCCGATGCGGCCTCTGTGGCGCTGGGTCTCTCCTTGTTGTGAGATTTGGTGTGTGTTTTCAGGTTGTCCAGCCGTGTGAATGAAAGGCCGCAAACGAGGCAGGTGAAGGGTTTCTTCCCAGAGTGAGAGGCAATGTGGCGCCGCCTTGCACTGGGGTCTGAGAAAGACTTCTCACAGATATTACATTTATACGGCTTCTCCCCTCTGAACGAGAACATGACAGAAAGGATTTCATTAGGAAAACAGCCTTCAAAATGGATTCAGTGACACATCGCTTATTTATGTCACCTTTATCTAACAAAAAACATTTAATTTTCCTAATATTCTGACACCTCCAAACTGTAATATTTTTGATCCTTTAAAAAGAGAGAACATTGCAAATTAGAACTTGTTTGTAACTTAGAGGAAGGATAATAAAATGATTATATTCTTCCTACAAATATCATTGACCTCCATTTATATTCGCCCCCCTGATACTTTGCTTTGCTGAAGTCACAGCAGCCAATCTCCTGGGCTACTTTACAAACAGCTTCATATATCCAGATGAGGGTTGAGGGATTCATTAGATTTTTTTACTCATATTTTAATCATCCTGTCTGTCAGTGCCCTAAATTTAAAGTATAGCAACATAAAAGCTGTGAAACACGTCGGCAGGCTCTCATTATTACCAAATAAGCTAGTTTATCAGCTCTGAGCAGACAGAGGGGACATCCCTCTGAAGAACGGGAGCTCAAGGAGAGGATTGGTGAAAAAAACAAACACCCGCCCTAATCTGGACAGTAAACCTTTTTAACCCAAGCTCAGCTGGATTGGATGGACAGAATCACTACATGTTTTTCTTTTAAGCCAAAGATCAGTCAGATTTATATCTGGACTTTGACTAGACCATCCAAGCAAAGAGATATGCTTTTATGAAAACTATCATCTTAGATTGTTTAGAGTCATTTTCAATCTTAATATCAGAACCAGCTCACAGTGTTCATGTGGCTGCAACCAGAAGGCTTCTCGGTGAGAATGGATTATGATTAGATTTCTGCCAGTATTTTAGTAAAAAGGTGCAGAAGTTCAATTTCTGTCTCTTTTTAAAAGAAGATTTATTTCCTCCAAGTTAATTGTAGGATTTCTTATGTAATCCAAGAATAGTGTAATCTGCAAAGAGTTTGGCAACAAAAAAAATAAATAAATAGAAAAAAAGTACCGCAAAATAAGAGCTTTAAAGGAATAGTACACCCAAAACATGATTAGCCTTCATTTTCTACTCACCCCCATGCTGAACAACACTCTGGAGTACTTTTTTGATATCTCAAATGCATCTGGAGATCTGGGAGGCTTCTTGCTGTCTGCTGACGTTCAAATAATGGAGGTCTATGGCGCCCGAGACAGAAAGGTCCATAAAAGTCCACAAAAAACGTGTCAATATTCCTCCATACTGCTCGTCCAATGTATTCCAAGGGTCCTGAGTGGGTAGCGTCCATAATTTACTCGAAACAAAGTCATTTAGAATGTTTTTAGAGCATAAACAGTAGTGTATAGGATTTCCTAAAAGTGCGTTCAAGAGTCTACGGAAACCGCGGCAGACCAAACCAGATGAAAGTGCGCATTCAGCTCGGCAAAGAACTCATGCTCTTCCTCAACACTGAAGTCCTCAGACATTTTTCTTTCGTAGTTTTTTTCTTTGCACAGGTAAACAGCACATTTCTTCTTCTACGCTTGCATTATCGGCAGAGCAGACGCTGAATGCGCACTTTCATCTGGTTTGGTCTGCCACGGTTTCCGTAGCGTCGTGAACGAGCCGGCGCGCGCTTTTAGGAAATACTATACACTAGTGTTTATGCTCTAAAAACATTCTAAATGACTTCGTTTCGAGTAAATTCTGGATGCTACCCACTCAGGACACTTGGATTACATTGGACGAGCAGTATGGAGGAATATTGACACGTTTTTTGTGGACTTTTATGGACCTTTCTGCCTCGGGCGCCATAGACCTCCATTATTTGAATGTCAGCAGACAGCAAGAAGCCTCCCAGATCTCCAGATGCATTTGAGATATCAAAAAAGTACTCCAGAGTGTTGTTCAGCATGGGGGTGAGTAGAAAATGAAGGCTAATCATGTTTTGGGTGTACTATTATTTTAAGGGCAGGTAGTCAGGTGTATGATCACATAGTTGGAGAGTGTTATCGCTTGATGTCGTGTCCAAACTGTCATCTTGAGATCAATCAGTAACAGCTTGTATGTCTCACCTGTGTATCCTTATGTGTGTCTGCAGCGTGCTCTTGGCTGTGAAACATTTGCCACAAATCTCACAGGTGAAAGGCTTCTCACCTATGGGGAAAAAACAACAACATATTATAGGAATACTGTTATAACGATGCTGAGTTTCTGGACGGAAACGCTTTGAGGTTTTTACCTGTATGGGTTCTGAGGTGCTTCTTCAGTTGAGCTGCATCCATAAACTTGTGATGACATAGATCACATTCTGGCAAAGATTTACCTGCAGTAGAAAAATCGGGGGAAATATGTAATCGCCCGAAAAGACGTAACACAAAGCATAATTGTGCTTTTTTTTTTACCTGTGTGGACTCTGTAGTGGCTTTTTAGCTGCTTCTTTTGAGTGAAGGTCTTTTCACATTTATCACAGTCAAAGGACTTCTCCTCTGAAAACAAGTAAAATGTTAAAAATGACAAAAATATTAAAGTAGTTGATAAAGAATCCAATGGGAACAATAAAACAATTTTCATCATTCTTAAAATGTATAAAAAGCATCAGTTTTCTAATGATACCGCCACCTGTGGCATAAACACAGAGTTGCATCACTCCTGTTGTCGTAGCTCTTGCTTTACGAGGTTTATGATTTTTTTCCACCTGATGTGAGGTTACCAATGGTGTCTGAGTTGAGCTGGATCTGTCGCTGCGATTATTTGCTAGATTGGATCCATTTATCATGGATCTGCCGAACTTTTAAAAAAATTACTTTTAAGCATTAATGCAGATTTATTTCAATTTTAAAAATATAGAAAATAGTGATGAAAAGGAATTTTCTGACCTACAAAGTATTTACGTGAAGCTCATAATGTTCCATTATGACCCAAACTGTACTTTCATTGGAATTATCAGATTTTTTTTCATTAAGTCAAACTGCAGGGTGTTGTGTTACATTAAGCGCCCTTTATCCTGACACCCAGAAATAAAACCCATTACAATCAGCGGCCTTAAGAGGTGACCCCTTTAGAACATGGTGTCCATGCATGAGTGATTGGATCTCAGGGTAAATCCATCTGTCTGACCCCAAGATATTTGTTAGTGAGCAACAACACTGCTGCAAAGTCTGCTATCTTTACCTTTCTGGTCAAAAGTTTTTAAATACATGTAAATTATATGAAAAAATGATGGGATTCAGACACTAGTGTCATATAATGTGAACAACTTTGTTTTCTTGACAAACATAAAGAAAAGTTGAAAGGGTATGAGTACTTTTACAATACATATTTTTATACTCTTTGATATTTACTAAACAAATAAAGCGTTTTCAAGACGATCAACAGCTAAGATTTCTTATTTATTTATTTCTAGGGAGGCACGATATAATCGGCCCCCTATCGGCATCGGCCTTAAAACTGAATATCGGACATCGGTCACCCCACCGATATTTAACCCGATATTTGATCAGCTTCTGAGTTTCTAAAAAAAAAAAAAACTACTACTTCTTCTTCTTCTTCTTCCTCAAAAACTTCTTTTTTACAGACTTAAAAACTTCTAAAGACGAGGGAAAAAATATTGATACATTAAAATATCCCAATTTCTTCATATGCTGATATATTGCCATTTAAAAACACCATATCAATCTCTTTTACTAATGAAATATTGCTATATGTCATCGTTATGCTACGAAATCCCCCGAAAATTCATGAAATGTTGCCATATTTTTATATGTTGATATATTGACGCGGTATCGATCTATTTTACTAACAAAATCTCACAAGAATTTGCAAAATATCACGAGAGTTTGTAACAGAACGATGAAATTTCACAAGATTCTGAAAGTAAAATAGATCGATACCGCGTTTTTAAAAATCTATTTGATATCAGCATATGAAAATATATTTGAGTATATTATTTTTCAAAGTGTCAGAAATGGATAACAAAACTGCTATTTTCAATGACTACTTATTTTTGTCCAGCTTTAACATCAGTATCGGTATCGGCTATCGGCTACATGAATTTTAAAATATCGGCATATCGGCCAAAATCCCAATATCGTGCATCCCTATTTATTTTAAGTAGAAATATGATAAAAATCAGCATTTGGAAGATTATAAAAGTGTGAATTATCTTAAATGATCCAACATGCATTCAGCAGATAGAATATTTTAGTTGTTTGAGATTTAGTATTTTAAAAAAGCATTACTTTAAGACAATGAAAAGCAAAGGGGGTCGTAGCTCCCATGGTTTACCTCCATGGAGGTTCATGTGCTCTTGCAAAGAGTGTTTGGTGGACATTGCTTTTGAACATATGCTGCAGACGAAGGGCTTTTCTCCAGTGTGTATCCGCTGGTGGGCCAGCAGGGCGTGCTTCTGGGTGAAGCTCCTCCCACAAACGGTGCAGTGGAACGGCTTCTCTCCTGGGAGGCGAACAGAAACAGAGGAAACGTCAGTGAGGATAACATCAGGCCTGGTTGTTGTAGGTCTTTAATTAAAAGCTGGAGATACCAGTGTGAGTTCTTTGGTGAATCTTTAAAAAGAGATGGTGCTTGAACACTTTCCCACATTCTTCACATCGGGCCTCGGTGTTGGGGTATTTCCTCTTCCCGCCCCTCTTTCCAGGCTCTTTGCTTCCTGCTCCATCATAGCTAATTCTGTAGCCCTTGTATTTAACTGGCGTCCTTATTTTACGCTTGCTGTGACTCCTCTTGTCAGGTCCAGCATTATGATCCTCCTCGTCTTTCGCAGGTTCTCCCTCAGCAGCCTGAGTTTTTTCAGAGTCCTCGCAGGGTATGACCGTATTTTTCTTTGGCCGTCCTCTTTTGCGTTTTGACAGATCGGCCACCTGAGCTCTCTCTGATTTTGCCTCATCCTTTATTCCTCCATTTGTAGAGTTTTTGAGCTCAGTGAGAGCATCAACCAGTTCAGTGACCTTTACCCTGTGAGCTGCAGCCAGGAGCTGCTCAGCACAGCTCTCTTCCACAGACACCTGGGCGCTGTAGATGAACTCCAGCACAGCGGCGAACATCTTGGCCGCCATACCGTCCAGCGTGTAGGTGGACTGAGGGGCCTGGTGCTCTGCTGTGAACATAAGAGAGAAGTACGCACTGCTTGCCGCCAGCAGGGCTTTGTGCGCCTTGAAGTGTACGTCCTCTACAACAAGGGTGATGTCACAAAGCAGGTCTTTTTGACGTAGTTTGTCGAATTTGCTCAGGATACTCAGCTTATGTTGGTCAGAGCGAAGGGGAATGATGGAGGGAGACGGAGTCGTTTCTTTTTGAGACATCTTCTCCCTCAGATAAAAAATGGGTTAACCCAAAAAACCTGTAAAAACAGACAGATTGAGGAACAAAGATAATGGAACATATCTTCCCTTGTTACATATAGGTGATAAAATAAAGTATGTTGAATTTTTAACACTTTACACATTTTATTTAGTTTAACTATGCTTTATTTTATTTTGTGCTTTAAGCCCTTAAACCTATATAGTGAAACACGTGAAGATTTAACCGTTTCTTTCTATTCTTTAGCTAGACTGCCAGGGTTTTGGCAAGCAAAAAGCTGCATATTCTAGTTTGAAAAACACATTTATTATGAGTCTGTGCAGAGAAAAACACAAACTGTTGCCTTCAATCAGCTATTATGATGAATAATGTTTTCTTTTCTTTAATAATCAAGAAAGCAACCAGTAAATGTGTGGTCATCCTGTCAGACAGCTGAATCCCAACCTCCCAGCATGCACTGCTCTGAAGCAGCCTCTGTCCGCAGTTGCCATGGTGATCAAGCTAGCTTCAAATGCTTCATAACACAGAAACTTATTTTGTTTCCCATCAACTTATCTCCATAGCAGACTCTTCTTGTGTTTGTTGTAGGAAGTTACACCCGTCCACATAGTTAATACTTAGTTTTAATATTTATTTTGGGGGGTTGAACGCTTATTTTACTTTATTTTTTTAATAAAATGTGGTAAAAGTGAAGACGTTGAAAGTTAGCATACAAGCTAACCATTTTAACCGAATGTATCTGTGGTTGACACACAGCCTGCTAACAAGGCGACAGTTATATCAGTGTTAAACGATGCATGTCTGCTGGTATTGTAACACTCAAGTAAGCAGGCTTCTACAAACCCAAATATAACTAAAGTAGTGAGCTGTAAGGACCTTACCTTCGCCGAACGGAAAACGTGAACGCCGCTCACATATCGCGAGAGATAGAACGGGATCTTAAGTGCGCAGATCTACAGATCATAGCCAGTGCGCTTTTCATTCAAATAGAGTGAAAAACATTTGTAGATCAACAAAAATTTTGCGACCTTCTGGTGTTCAATGATCTGTATGGATTACATACATAAAAACTTATTTAAAATAAGATTGGAACAGGGATATTGTTTGTCAATACGTTTACATTTCATTCTCTTAAATATAACATGTTAAAAATCAAATGTAATCGAGTATGGTGTGAAGGCGTCTTTAAGGACCTGCACGTCCCTGACTGTGTGAGAAAAAAGGAATCAGTGGAAAGTCGGGGAGCCACTCTGTGAAGTTAGCATTAGAAGTTAGTTATTTACACACAACAACAAACCGTGGTAGCCGACGTGAGTTTTGAAATTGCAAAGTAAAATCAAATGCGCATCTACGCAGCACAGCGTTCACAGACCAGTGTGATATGGCTGGCCATAGTGTGATGCATGGGTCAGTTTCAGACAGCTATGGTGCATTCAGTAGCATGGGATATTTCAAACGTACAAGAAAAGATGCATTAAACGGAACCGAACTTAACTCATACATTAATGTATTTATCCAGAAACAGTATTGACTTTCTTACAATACTGGATGCTCTATAATTGTATTTCTGTTTTTTTTTTTTTTTTTTTTTTTTTTTTTTTTTTTTTTTTATTAGGCACATTTGCTAGGTTTTTATTCTAAAAAAATATATATTACAGCAGCAAAGTTTTTCAAAAGCCTGTTTAAAAGCTCCAAATGAGGCTTCAGATCATTCAGCTACAATTGCGCTGTCATTGTTTTACAGGCAGAGTTTGCATTAGCTGATTCTTGTCCTTTAACTGCTGATGGATATAAAGGAATAAAGTCATACAAGGTTCAACTCCTCTGAGATAACAAGGGATGCAATTTTTGGCAAGGACCTGCCACAAAATGCATCCCCCTTATTTTTAACGCAAAAATTGTCCCACACACATGAAATTCACACTGGTAGCTCAGTACACATGTGGAAGCATGTAGAAATTGTTACATCTGATACAACTGCATATTTCTGTAAAAAAAACAGGGGATGCAATGTTTGGCAAGGACCTGCCGTTAAGGTAATCAAGATTTACATCTTAAATCCGACCTAAATGTAAACTTATACCTTATATCTCCATTTCACCTTTTTTGGATTTGGAAAATAAAACCAGTCGCAAACACAGTAATGTAGTTATTTTGTGCTATTTACTTTATTCTTAGTGTAGTATATATATATATAAAAAAGTTTTACAGTTCAATCTAACAACATTAAACAGGTTTCAACATTTTTCAACTACCTTCCAAACAAAGCAGAATAAATATAACAACATATAAATCAAATTTGGAACAGTGTAAAGCAAAAATAATTTAAAGGAGCTTAAATTAAATAATGTTTATGTTGAAGTATTTTCTTCAAACTTGGCACAGTGGACAGCAATACTCCATATCAGGTGGTGTGTTCTTGACACAGCGATGGTGGAACCGCCTGTTTCATCCATCACAGGCAATCTGAAATGGACAAGATTCAAGTAGGATTACTAATACCATTGATACGCGCTACAATTAGCATTTAATAACATGGATACATGATGTATGTGCATCTGTGTATGTGCCTACGGTCATCGGAGCACTCAGAGCAGTAGAGACGTGGCTCCAACAGATACCTAGAGAAACATCAGATATCTCAAACCAGAAGAGCACAATCATAGGAACACCTACGTTTTTAAGAAAGACCCCCAAGCATTTAAAAAAAACATTGACATTTGTTTAAATATAAAGTCTGATGCTAGTTGAGACCGATAACTGTTTCTAAGAGATGACAAACTTTCTTTCTATTTCAGGGTATCTTGCACGCATTCTTGGTCAGTATAGGTGAAGCTGGTTTATGTAATCTTCTATTACCCATAAAGCTCCATCGAAGGTTAGAAATTTAATTTGATTCAACTTAATTTTATTTATATAACTCCCTTTAACAGGCAGGAAAACCTCCAGCAGAACCAGAACTATGCTCAGTTTGAACGGTCATCTGCCTCGACTGACTGGGGGTTAGAGAAAACAGAGACACAACAAGAGAGACAAACAACCACAGAAGCACACATTGATCCAGGAGTACGTTCTGAGCGATGCTTAAACTGCTTAAACTGTTGATAATTCAGAAAGGTCTACAGGGGCAAAGCAGTCCAAACACTAATCAGCTTTAAGATTTCTACACTAGTTCCCAAACTTAAGTCTCCTCCATTGATTTATGTCTTTCATTTCTGGACAAACTGATTAATCCAGCTGTGTCTGGCTATTGTTATTGTGGTTACTGAGGCCACACACACCTGTATTAGATACTCCAGTAACAAAAGACGGGAAACAAATGAGCCACCTTAAATTCAGCAGGTGGAGGGGGTGAATGGGAAGCAATAACATTGCTGCCATCTGATGGGCATTTCTGTGTTAATGAGGAAATTAAAAGGGGGATTGATTCTTTACAGCTTAATCCAGCATTGTCATATAAGGATCTACTGGAAGGAAACCTTGTTAGGTGGGCGAAGAAATCAAAGACTATTTAAAAAAATTCTCTGATAGGACAGGGCTGTGAGGAAATACTAATAATTATTCACAATCAATGTCATAACCCAGTACAGTAGTGTCAGTTTATGCACAGTAGGAGAAAAACTAATGGACTCTGGGATAGGTTTAAAGGAAACTTTAATTTTATCGCATTCAGTACCAACATTATTATTTTGATTCCCCACTATAATAATCTTGTCCGTGTTTACACTAAATCAGATCTGAGAACTGATCAAAACAATAGAAGGTCATTGTAGTTATTAATTGGTGGGGACAAATTAAGAAATCAGACTGAAAGATGGTTGCCTAGTCCTCCTCATGCTGTAGTTCTGGGAATGGTGAAATGTAAATAATTAGAGGGAGTTCACTCATTTATTCAATTCAATTAAATTCAGTTTATTTCTATAGTGCCAAATTCACAACACATGTCATCTCATGGCACTTTACAGCTCAACCAGATCATACAGTCAAATTGATTTTAAAGTTTCCTTATCTAAGGAAAACCAGCTGATTGCATCTACTCATTGACTCAAATACAATCCCTCACACTAAGCATGCTTGTAGCGACAGTGGAGAGGAAAAACTCCCTTTTAACAGGAAGAAACCTCCAGCAGAACCAGGCTCAGTGTGAGCGGCCATCTGCTGAGGCCCACTGGGGTTCAAGGAAACAGAAGCAGAGACACAAAAAGCAGCTGTAAAAGGCGGCCCCGTCCAGGAAACACACAGCCAGGCAGACGAGCTCAGAGCCGCCTCCCATGTCAGAGGATGAAGAGAGCACATCCAGTTAGTCACAGTCAGAGAAACAGGACTACACTGGAAAACAGGCGGATCTCCAACATCTAGAAACAAAGGTGTTGATGGAAGCAGCACAGCTGGTATTTCTCTCCAGGATGGAGTCACAGCCAAACAGGAACAGACCAGATGAAGCTACTATGAGAAAAAGCAGAGAGAGCAGAACGTTAGAGATTGAACTAACAGATTCTGCAGAGTGGGAGAATAGAGATAGAATGAAGCAGAATGATGAAAAAGGGGTCCCTATGTCCTCCAGCAGTCTAAGCCTATAGCAGCAGAACTATAGAGATAGCTCAGGATAAACTTAGCCACTCTAACTATAAGCTTTATCAAAAAGGAAAGTTTTAAGCCTAGCCTTAAAAGTAGACAGGGGCTCTGTTCGAAAACCTGGGCTGCATCCTCCAAGGACGCGGTCTACCTAGACTGGATCCTTCTAAGTCCTTGAAAATAAGGAGACCGGTAGAGTTTTGGTTGTGAACAGGTCTACCCTTCGGCGGGTTTTACCGCCGTAAGGTCTGTTGCTTAGCAACCATGAAAGTTGACACACAAATCAGGACTACATTAACAAGATTCCAGAGTGGAATAAAGGTTCCAACCACCAGGTTCGTGAATTAATAAAATCAAATGTAATGATAGAAACCTTAGTCAGTTAAATAACCTGCTGCTGTCATTCTGCACATCTCTGATGTTGCTGCTATTTTCAAATATCCATTACTGTAAAAATGTCCATAGCTGCATATTGGTTATTTATTCTCCAGTTTTAGATTGTTAAAACACTTTACAGGATTGTATTGTTTTTTTTTTTAACTCTTCCCTATTATGTTATTCTTATACATTTTTCTAAGGTCCACATTTATTTGACCATTTTCAATAATCTTTCTGCTGCTGTAAATTTGCCCATTGTGGGACAATAAACGGATTTTCTATTCTATAAAAGTGGTAGAAAGATATAAGTAAATCTAAACAATGTATTTATAAAAAATATATCTGCAAAATCTCTAATATCAACAGCAGAAAATTCTTAGTTAAGCATATTGTGCAAAACAGCAATGAAAAGATAAAAATCCTATCAGATTTATAGTCCCCACCCTGCAGATATTTTAGAATCTGTCCTTAAATTACAGCCAAACCCATTTAAACACAAACAGATAAAAACCTTTAGATAAATCAAACATTACCGCCACATATCTGACTCAATAACCATTAAAACAACTATTTTCATTCATTTAAGACGGAACTATTCACTGAGTTGTATTATATTAAACTGAACTTCCAATTTTCACCACTGTTCGGCGCCAGGTAACATTTCCTCTGATCACTGCTTGCTTGGTCTCGCAATGAATCCTGGGTAAACCAAGGATACCGAGGATACATCGGACCCGTCCTTCAAATCAGGCAAAAAGAAGGACACATTTTAAGGTCGCATAACGAGGACTCTTGGAATCCGACCAGACCTTGGCGCCGCGCTATAATCATACTGCGAATCTGGCCTTCTAAGGACGCGTCCCAGGTTTTCGAACAGAGCAAGGGTGTCTGCTTCACGGACTAAAACTGGTAGTTGGTTCCACAGGAGAGGAGCCTGATAACTAAAAGATCTGCCTCCCATTCTACTTTTAGAAATTCTAGGAACCACTAGTAAACCTGCAGATTGAGAGCGAAGTGCTCTGTTAGGAACATAAGGAACAATCAGATCTCTGATATCAGATGGAGCTTGACCATTTAAGGCTTTATATGTGAGAAGGAGGATTTTAA